TCTTCCCCCCCCCCCCCCTCCATTAGAAAATTTAAATATTTTTTCTCGTGAATTAGAAAGCTTGCTTGTTTAAAATGCGTAATAATTTTTTTTTGTTGAAATTTTTAACGATTTTTTATTGTTGACAGTTCAATTTTCCCTAACAAAATGTTACTAGTACATTTTTCTGTTATAGTTCCTATTAAGACTTAAAATCTTTTCAATCAAATCAAATATATTTTTTTAATAGTAGCTCCCTTCTCATTTTTTTTTTAAATAAAATTTTTTGTGTTAAATAAAAGCAATTTTCTTATGCATTATTTCTACTATGTGTTCGCCAACCCGATTATTATATACGATCATCGTTTGATGTAATTTGGGATCGTTTTATATTCAAATAAGCAGTATAGTTACAAAAACGTTCATATGTGATTATGAGAAATGTTTGAACTTGTATGCCATGTATGGAAGTGTATGCCAACTTCTACAAATATTTAGTTGAACTACATTTCTCTTTGTTTGAAAAATGTAAATTATAATTTCTTTATAAAATAATGTACAAAATGAAAATGTAGTGTTTTTCTCACAAAATGTCTTCGTAAATGTAATTGAAAATGCATTCTTGAAAAATAAAATCTTTTAAATAAATTTATCCTTATTATTTTATTCAAAAAATAATGATGAAAATTTCATAAATTCCAAAATTTTGCTTTTTAGAACCATTTGAATAAGATTCCTTAAAGGTTCTAGAACACATTCTTAAAGGTTCTAGGGGGTGATCTGAAATATGCTAATTAGTTAGATCGATGATGTTTTATGTTACGAAATCAAACACAAAAAACGTACTTTCTCTGAATAACCATTTTTGTTTCAACGTATTCGGATTTCTGACCCTAAGATGTAGGGGACAATCGCAATACTGAGCCACTAATTTGGTCTGGAAAGCTGTTCGAAGTTTGAACCTGCTTATGTTAATTCTATTTGTGTATTTCACCATATCACGAGAAATTTTTACAAGAATTAAAAAAAATTTGCTCACAATAACAAAATTTGTTTATTTGAAGATAATACCATGGAAAATAAAAAAAAACATTTATTTTTAATAAATGTAGTTTGTAAATATTGTCTATGACCAGGGTTCAAACCCCTGACCTAGCAATTTCTAGTTGCCTGTCACTTAACCTTAATGGTTGTCCGAGTTATAACAGGTTTTAAGTACTTTCCCGCTTTTTTTCAATGGAACCAAATTGTGGGCCTCCTAATTTGTCTATAATTATTTCCTTTGGTACTGTGGTATAGTGCATTATAATATAATTTCTGGTTGAGTTTGAAAATTATAGGTTAATATTAAAGGGAGATTTGGAGCATTTATATTTACAGTATGAGCAACAATTTCTCCATTTTACAGCTATCATGCTCACTTAGAAAAGGAGAAAGAAATAATTTTAAGTGAAAAAAATTATTTACGTTACACTATTGTGAAATAAGTTTTAGAAAAAATATTTTTATTATAGACAATTTTAGATTATTGACGAAAACCGGGGTTCGAACCCCGAATTCTCGGGACTAGCAGTTTCTTACTTCCTATCACTTCCGCACCACACCTGGTTGCGTATAAACTACCTTTCCATCTACAGTTTGTAAAGAAAGAGTTTGTGTGCGTTGATTGGATTTCTCGGAAAATCCTTCGGTTACCCCTTTTTGTAGCTCCTCCCCAACATCAGACCAGCTGGTACGTCTCTATTTGAAGCTGGGTGATCTTCCCTGAGCCCCAGTTCTTCACGGTTCAGTCTTAACCACTGCAATTTTATAAACACAGAGGTTGGGGATATTTTTTTAAAACTTTTTATTTTCGGTAGAATATATTTTTTTCTCAGCTTTCTTTATTTCCTTTTCAATTAAAAAAGTAATTATAATTAGGTATTAATTGAAGAGTAACACATTTTTTAAAAAAAATTTGATGAGTTTAGAGGTGGCTACGAAAATAATATTCGGAGCTTCATTTTGAATTAATTTTAAATTGCAAGATACTTTTTATAACTTCCTAAAAATTTTTTTTTTACATATTCATTTCATTATTTTTTTACATTCTCACGAAAACTGTCATTTTTCAGTTCATAAAATCCCAAAAAAGTAAAGTGAATAAAAAGCTCTGAAACTTTTTATATTAATAGAAATATGTAATGGCATTATAAAGAAAGTATATATCCTATAAATTATACTTAATAATTAAATTACTTAATTTTTTAAATAATTAATTTATAATTAATTAATTTATAATAATTAATTTAATAAATAAATTAATTTATAAATTTTTTAATTTATTTTTCAAATTAATTAATAAGTAAATTAATTATTTTCACTATTTAAAAAGTGAGGGAATGACACTAATAGTGAGGAAATTATATTTTATTTTAATACAAGTGTTTATTCATGCTTTATTTTAATACATGTTTTATTTATGTTTTAAGTTACATCTACCTAAAGTTTGAAAATGATAACATACTAAGTATATCTAATATTTATTATAATTTAGTCTTATATATTTAATAGTTTTTACAGGTTTGGGAAATAAAATTGGCTGGCACGATTGAACAAAAAAAAATTTGATAATATACTCATCTTGAATCATTCCCTCACTTCAGCGTCATTCCCTCACTTTATACACTAGTGAGGGAATGACGAATTCAATAAAATTTAAAAATAACAGTTAGGCCTAATTAATTTCTGAAGTCAATCACATACAATTATATTCATACAAGAAAGCAACATATAATTATCCACTTTCTCGATGAAGTTGTATTTTATTTTACTCTAAAAAATGACATGAGGGAATGACAAATGTAAAAAATTTTACCTGGTTTGATTCATTCAAATTTATTCCACAGCAAAGCTTCTTTAAGTTGAAGATGGAAACATACTGCAATTTTGTTCTATGATGCCAGTTGTTAACTTCTGAAGTTTTTATTAAAATATTTTTATTCTAAGAAGATTGCAGGTGATAAGAACATTGTTGTGAGGGAATGACGCGAAACACTGGGGACAAAGTTTAAAATAGTGCTGTGTTAATATTTTTATCAGAAATTAAATTTAAAATTGATTTTCTGAATTCTATATTTCAGTATTCTGAAATAAAAAACACGAATTTGTAAAAAAAAAAATTTTATTTCAGAAACAATTTTTTTCTTTTTTTAAATCAGCAGTGGGGACAAGTGAGGGAATGACATATTGGTATATTTTAATTACCTAAAATAAATAAAAAATAAAAATTGATAATTTTATTTTTATTCTTTTGTTAGCTTGCATTCTGAAGGACACTTTCCCTGAATTTTTTTTTTTCGTAAGCTGTAAAACAAACATAAAATATACTGGGGACATGAAAATGACTGTTTTTGTGAGAATGACCCATATATATATATATATATATATATATATGCATTTATATGTATGCATTTTTGTCGTATACTGAAAAAAGGGATTTATTTGAATATCAAGGGATTGTCCCACCCCCCAGGCTTCTGCTACAAAGAAAATGAAACTTTTTTGGAAATTCCGGAATGCAAAACTATGAACAATTCGCTATGTAATAGTGATTGAAATACTGGACTTTAATAGAACAAAAATAAGACATTTTACACAATCAACTGTTTTTTTTTTCTTTTATTGACATACAGTGGAATTTATAAATAATAAAAATAAAGCAGCCTTTATTCTAGTTTATAATTACCCTTGGAGTGAATGTTTTTTTGGGGTTATTTTCATTTTTGTGTCGACTGGAGAGAAATGGCAGTGAAAGTAAATCGATTAGATGTTCACTGATCCGTAAATATGCTGATTAGAATAAGCATGTTGACACTGTTTAACATAATTTTAGAAAGCGTTTTATATAAAAGCTCTTGGGTATAACAAGTTCACAACATTCACTAACAATCAGCGATTGCCGTTAACAACTAGCAGAATATTGCAACTCATAATGTTCACAAAGGTAAGATTTTATTTTTCTTAGATTTTTTTCGAGAAAATTTTTTTTGCGTGATTTCCCCCCCCCCACCCATTTCCTGATATCTAGAGACTTCTGATTAATGACATGGGCTATAAGGCTTTCTAAAAGTCTTGCCCACAACAATAAAAGTAATGTTGAATTTTATTAATGTACAAAAAAGTAACAAAACCTCGTAACCGTGATGGCTCAGGGGATAGAGCTTTCGCTTCCCAATGACGAGAACCGAGTCCGAATCCCAACGATGGATGGTCGATACGACTTCCGCATCCGACTAGCACTGACCTCTGTGCTGGCGTAAAATATCCTCAGTGTTAGACGTATCATGGGTTAAAGTACCCTTGCCGTCAGGCTAACCGTTGGTTGTTTTCGTGGTTTCACTCTCCGCGTAACGCAAATACAGGTTAGTTTCATAAAAAAAGTTCTCCACGAAGGCAAAAATTTTTTCACTACCTGATCCAGAAGTTTCCTTGTCTTCTGGATTGGATTCAAAATTACAAGGCTACGTAATAAATGTCACACTGGAGCCGTGGTAGCTCAAGGGATAGAGCGGTTTGACCACAGTGCTGATGTAAAATATCATCAGTGGTAGACAGATCATGGGTCAGAGTTCCCTGCCGTAAGGCTAATCATGGGAGGTTTTCGTGGTTTTCCTCTCCGTGCATAATAAATGCCGATTAGTTCCATAAAAAATTCTCCACGGAGGCCAAATTTCTCTCAATACTTGATTCAGCAGTTCCCTTGTCTTCTGGATTTGGTTCAAAATTACAAGGCTACGGAGTTGAACATTAGTAGTCGTAAACCCAAAATTGGGTTGGCTGATCAACGACAGTTATGAAATAAAAAGGTAAATGAATGATCCTTGCATTTCTGTAATTACAAAAAAGAATTATGATGTTTGAATGCTGGTTACTGATTTAAAAATTTAGGATTTTCGAAGAAATGAGGTATTAAATATTAAGGTATTACTGATTAAGGGTATTAATGATTAAGAAATGAGGTATTAATGATTAAGACTTTTTTTAAAATTTCATACAAAGTGTTAACTGTTTCTTACCTCGTTTAAGCAATCTCTACTGCTCACTGAAAAGAAGGTAATCAGTAAACAGAATTGACCAATGATCAATTCCTTTTTTCCAGAATAAATTTTGTGTGTCCCGTGTTTCCAAAATAATGAAATTTTCACTATTTCAGTATCTGTGCCTTACTGAATAAGATTTATGTCATAAAAAAAGCATCTGTAAATACAATTAAGCTTTAAAATATTAAAAAATTAAACAATCATTTACATCCTATTTAAGAGCTTGAAAAGTGTTCTCTGAATTATCATTGTTGGTCTCATTATTTGTCAGTCAGGCACAGCTTACTGCGCAATTCCTTGTTGACATTTATTCCACTAGATAAATGCTGATTCGCGGTGGCTCAAAGGATAGAGAGATCGCGTACCAATGAGGTAGCCTGGGTTCGAATATCAACGATGGAAGGTCAACACGAATCCCACACCTGGCTTGCACCGACCATAGCGCTGACGTAAAATATCCTTAGTGGTAGACGAGTCATGATTTGAATACCATAACTGATAGATGTGAATAGAAAGAATGTCATAACAGCTTTAAACAGCTTAGAAACAAATATTTCTTTTTAGAAAGAAAAAAAAGAAAGAGCTTGGAAAAAGTTAGTGTACGCTTTGTACAGAAAAAATTATTTTGATCTGTTAGAAAAATTTGTGGGATTTTCTTAAGTGTTCAAAATACTGGATATTTTAACAATATTGGTATACGATCTGCGATATCTCTGGGGAAAGAGCATTCGCCCTCCAATGAGGTGAACCGGGTTCGAATCCCAGCGATGGCTGATCGATATGAGTTCCGCATCCGGCTTACACCGACCACAGATGTAAAATATCATCAATTGTAGACGGATCATGGGTAAGAGTCCCCTTGTCGTCAGGCTGACCATGGGAAGTGTTCGCGGTTATACTGTTCAAGCTATGCAAATGTGAGCAGACCCAAATTTTGGTTTACGACTACTAAAATCCAACTCCGTAGCCTTGTAATTTTGAACCCAATCCAGAGGACATAGGAACTCCTGGATATAGAATAGGGAGAAATTTACTGATTAGTATAGGGAGCTTACCCGCATTTGTATTACATTGAGAGGAAAACCACGAAAACTTCCCACGTTCAGCCTGACGCTAAAGGGATTCTAACTCATGATCCGTCTACCACCTTCTATCATGATGCTCTATCCTCTGAGCCATAGCGGCTCAATATTAAGTATAGTATATATTTATAGTAAATCTGATTTTTCTTTTTTTTCAGATTATCCTCAGTTTTCTTTTGATAGCAGTTACTGCAGCTGCTCATCACCATGATCATCATGAGGTGACGATTTTTTATATTAGATTTGTTATAATAAATTCAAGCTCTTATTTAAAATTAAGAACTTCTGAATATATTGAAGAATTCTAATGTGTCATATTTTAAAATTGATAAACTTCTTCTCCAAAAGGAAATATATCGGAAAAGCTGCTAGATAAATTTTTTTACTCTTAATATTATGCATAACGTTTCCATTTATACCTTTGTGTCTATCACGGTGGAATATCATAATTAGAATTTCGACCCATTTCCAACTAACTAGAGCATTTAAATGTCCACTGGAGCTCTGGTGACATTGTAAATTTCATGTCATAACAAGTTAAGAACAATTTCTTGCCCAAAGGAATTTATTGCTAATCCAAAATCCATTTTTGTCTCAGCCAAAGTGATCAAACTAAATTGACAAACTAGAATTTATGTTTTTAGTTTTTCATCAAATATTATTTCTCGTTAATAGAAATTTGGCCCGCTCTGACTAACTATCCCTGGAAGCATGTAACCTTACGACAATCTTGCGTCGGATTTTTTTTTCTATTGTCACGAAAATGTTTGTACTAAAAACCTTTATGCAATGAAGCAAAAATATCGCTGTTACTAACCTTTCATCCTAAAAGGATAGAAAATTATTTTTTAAAAAGTATTGCCAATTAGGTAAAATGGTATGACGTTTTAGCTAACGTCACACTAACGATAGGATCAAATTGCATCGTCCCTTTAAATTTCAAGACAAGGTGGATTTCAGCTGAGCAAACAAGACTTAACGTCTGGTTTCTTAGGACAAGCGCCGTATCTGGGCGTCAGTGGAAAGTTGACGTAGAGCTGACGCCATAAAAATACTTTTTTGTTAGCTCAGCGTGAGCAGTCGGCCCAACGCAGACATTTTCTCTCATTGCGCATGCGTTAATAACGTAAACAAATATTTATTTTGAATTTGTATTGATTTTGTTATTGTCGACCAGTGTTTTAGAGAACAAATAATGACTTTGTCCAAGAAAAAACACATTATAGCTGAGCTAAATGAAGAGTGCTATGTTTAATGAAGAAGCTATGTTTAATGTCAAAATCAAAATCTTGGCTGATTTCAATGTGCTGTTGGATGTTGTCCGCCATTGCTTCTGTGGTTAACGTCACGTTGTAATCCAACTGCAGTTGAGTTGGACGGCAATTGTAGTTCAAGATGAGCGTTCGATGACGTATACTATCAAACTCACAAATGGACCAATCAGAGGTAAGCGCTGATTTCCAGCTGACGGCGTCCTGTCCTAAGAAACCAGGCCTTTAGCAAAAAGAAACCATATAATGACGTAGATTTAAGATTATTTTCACCTTGAGACTAGCTTTATGAAAGGATTTTTTCACGCTTGAAACCCCTAAGTCAACCTCGATTTAAGGTTTTTATGGATGGGTGATCGTGTAAAGCTAAGGGTGGTGGCGCTAGTGGTAAAATTGCTCTTTCAAGACTTCCGGGTTACTGCTTCCGATATATTTTTACGCCGCAGATTGAAAAAACGCGCCATCATATTATTGCATCATATCTTTTGCAGTATTTCACATGTACCGAGTTCTTTCTTTCAGCCTTTAAACTCCAGCATTATCATATTAATATTATAATCATTAGAATATTTTCTAATTAGGCTATCTTAAAAAGATATTTTTGAAGATATTTCTGGTGACATTTTATTCAAATGTAGCCAAATAAGGGATAAAATACAAAACATGGCAAACCTTAAGAATTATTCACAATGAGATGCAGCACAGAACCCGTTATCCGGAAATCAGAAAACCGGAAAACCAAAAAACCGGAACGAAATTCGATAAATTTTCCCGCAATTTTAAAAAAAAAAAAATTTTTATTTCCTCATAGGATTTTAGGATTTTTCTTTCTTTTTTGAAAGATGTTTACCTTACCATCATTTCAGAAATAATCATTAGTGTATTACCTCATCGTTTTTTCTTATTTTTAAGATTATTTCCAAATATTTATTTTTTTTAGTTGGGTTTAACACTAAAAAAACGGCTTTTTGTAGCGATTCAGAAAACCGGAAAAATCAGTTATCCGGAATAGCGATAGTCCCGATATTTCCGGATAATCGGTTCTCTATGTATTAACTTACCAAAATTTTTTTTGGCCTTACGACCTTTGAGAATCAATACATTTCTGAAAGCTCTTACGAATGGTACAATTATGTTTAGATTTGAACCCAAATTACAATAACAAAACTGCATAGAATAGTAGGCTTGTTCACACATCGCCTCGTAGTCATAACATAAGCGGAGGGATACACCGGAAATTTTCTAAATTTCTTCCGGTTTAAGGACGCTTGTTATTGTTTACATTAGACCACCCATCCATATAGAAGCGTGTTTTCCAAGGTTTTGGATTAGGGTAATGTGCGTGGATTAGAGCAGATCGTCACAGATCTCGTTTTAAGCTTAGAAGGTTTACACGTAAACCGCATTACAAATCTTTTTAGGTTTACATTAAAAGGTTTCCGCTGAGTGAAAATGAACCTTATTTTGCTATCTGAGAATAGAACTGACATTTCATTTTGACAAAAACCCGATAGTTATTTTTAAATGGTATAAGCGAAACATTTCATCAATCCAACACCCCATGTCCTTCGAATGTGACAACAATAAGATTATTATTGTCATTTCAGTAAGCTTAAAAAAAAATATTAAAATTGTTTTTTTCTTCTTTCTCTTATTCACTTTTCGGAATGTAAGATTAAGTTTTCTAACTGTTGTGCTTCCTCTCTAAATCAACTGTATAAGAACAGTTAACGGGAAAAAAACTCTTATATATTGTAGACAAAAAGTAAAATCAACATTAGGGAGATTTCTCAAATTTACGTTAGCTTCCGTATTCACCCGTACTTAAGATTTTAAGTAATTGCGCATGTGTCAGTTCAGGGAAAATGCGCATGCGTCCGTGGAAAAATATCAAACTCTCGTAAGTGAAAATAAGAGATTTTGCAAGAATTCGTAAGTTAAAAGGGCTAACGTAGTGGAATGTCATTTTAACTTCGACCACGAAGTCAAAACAAACATTTACAATTAACGTAGGCCATCTTTTTAAAGCTGTGGCATACGATTCAATATGCTTTACTCTTAGTAAAAATATAGATCTGTGATCAGAAATATTTTGTAGATTATAGATTTTGATGAATTCAGCGATAAAGAATGAAGCTTATTATTATTATTATTAAAAAAAATATTGTTGAACTTATATTGATTATTTGGCTTCTTTTAACTAAATTGAATAGTTAAGACAAATATATTTTATAATTTCAAAATAGCGAAGATATATCTAGTTTCTTATGGAATTGGTGTAATAAATAAACTTTATATGTAAGAATCTTTTTGTAAGAATACAGAATGCGTCACTTAAGAGGAATGATACTTGACGGACTGAAGTTACTCGAAATAGAATGGAAAGAACAGTTGCTAATGTAAACAAAGCCACGCAAAATTTGTTTGTATTTTTATATTTTTAAGACATTTCTAACAGAATTTAAAACTTCATGGTTCAGTTAAACTTCATAGTAGATTGATCGGAAGACACGGTTCCGAGTCGATAACCGAAGCAGTCACTGAGTGAGACCCCATTGATCAGCCTGCGAAGGGACTGAGGGAATGCAGTATTGATCCCAGTTAAGCTCGACAAACCATAAAGTGTTCCACTTCGCTAGTGAATCACCGGGTTACTAAAGGTGGAGGAGCCATTTCCTTTACAGAGGATCAAAAATTTTGATGGCATGTCATACTTTTTGATGGCATGTATTAAATCCAGTTTGAAATAGAGTTTTACTTCTTTGTGTTAAATCGAGAGTCACCTGCGTGCAGCTCTAGTGTGATGTAATTAAAGTAATACTACTCTTCTCTAAACTTTAAATTAATTATGCAGGGTAATTTGCTATGAAAAATTTTCTCCCGTGATATCCTCTAAAGTTGTTTTTCATTTTCTCTGATGTAACTGTTAAAAACTAAATTGTTCTGTCTCGCCTAGCATCATCATGCTCACCCCTATAAGTTCGGATATGTAGCGAAAGGCAAAGACGGATCCCACCACAGACACGAGGAAGGTGATGGACACGGAGGAGTGAAGGGCAGCTACGGATACGTTGACCATCACGGAATCCACCGAGAAGTCCACTATGTAGCGGATAAGGGAGGATTCAGAGCAGAAATCAAGACCAATGAACCCGGAACGGCCAATCAGGATCCAGCTCACGTCAAACTTCATTCTCATGCTTCTCACCATCATCATCAAGAACCTCATCATCATCATCATCATCACCAAGAACCTCATCATGCTCATCATCATCATCAACAAGAGCCTCACCATGCTCACCATCATGAGCACCACGGACACCAATGGAAACATCATGCTTAAATTTGAAAAAAAATAAATAAATAAAAATCTCTTAACCTGGGATATATGCTCAATAAATTATAATTAATCTTTCTACATAGTATGTAGTTACAAATGCATTTTAGACTCCTCTAGTTCATCAAATAATTTCTAGATGTCAAAATCAATTGGTTAGATTAATAAATTAATAATTGATTCCTCCAATTAATTAGTAATTTTAAAAAGCAGATGTTTACTTATTTCATAATAGCACATAAACAAATTAGTTCAGATGTCTAAGTATAAGAAGTTAGGAACAGACTTTTGATGGCTAATAAGTGCTACTTTGGTCTGAGGAACCAATTAAAATCGAAATTCCTCTCCAGTGGTACAAAAGTAAATCTATACAAAACCTTAATCAGACCAATTATTCTGTATGGTAGCGAGACCTGGGCAATTAATGAAATAGAGGAAAATAGACTACTCCTTGTTGAAAGAAAGATCCTTCGGTCAATTTTTTGAGCAGTTAAGGAAAATAATATTTGGAGAAGTTTATGTAATCATGAGATATACAATAAATATAGATTACCAAATATTTTGAGGGAAGGCCTACAGGATCAGATGGCTGGGGCACGTTTTTCGGCGTGAAGATTTGGACCTAGTTAATAAACTTACTTTTTCGAAAATTGAAGGAACTAGAAGAAGAGGGAGACCAGCAACAAGATGGTTGGACAGTGTTGAGAAGGACTTAAAATTGTTGGGAATAAACAGGTGGAAAAATCAAGTTCAAAGTCGCCCTGCCTGGAGGCAGCTAAATGAGAAAGCCTTGGCCTGCACTAGGCTGTAGTGCTGATGAAGAAATCTAAGTATAATATTCATAAATTCTAAAAAAGAAAAAACAAAAAACAGAACTTAAGGGAGTTCTTTCTTCTACCTCTTTTTTCAGTAGTATGTATAATACAGGCAGTAGCGAGATTAAGTACAGTTTGTCTAAAGTAAGAACTCCCCTAGCCATAGGTTTGAACCCGTGGCTGTGGTTATGGTAACGAGGTATAACTATTTCAAGTAGGGGTGTGGAGTCATTGTTTAGGACAGGTTTTGGCTCAGGTAGGCGAGAGAAACGGAATATTTTTCTTACGAGCGATTAATTCTCACTTGGGCCGGATCACGCTATTGGTCGAAAATGACATCACTGTTTGGGGAAGGGATATACTGTGTATTGCATAGTATTTTGGCGACAGATCTTGATTTGGTGACAGATTTTATATTTAGTTTTCAAATGCGCTCTATTTACACGTGGTATTAATGTTGAGTAATAAAGACAATATTCACATTTTGCACAGTTTTGTGGTAATTTTTTATTAGAATCTAAGTAAGTGAAATTAAGCTATACTGCTTTTACGTCATTAGCAACTGGGGCTGTTCTAGAAATGCAGGGGGGGGGGAGAGTAGCCCAGAATTTTGGTCATTACTTCAAACTAAATTTACGTGTTGCTAGATTAAGAAGTTTTTAAAATTATTCATAACACAACTAAATTGCGATGTATGAGTAAATTTGAGCTTATGTTTATTTCAATTTTCGTTACATCATAACTGCAAAAGATAATTCTTATGGAAAAACAAACAAACGAAAAAAAAAACGTATTTGTAATATTACTATACCATCTTATATTTGTAAAAACACTTTCATTATTTTTATTGTTTTTAGCTTTGACGAATTTGAATCAATTAAAACATAAATATTGTCTGAAATGCTGAAGTGGACATTTACCTATCTCCCCACCCTAACGACGACATAATATTAAGTAAGCATTTGCAAGGAATAAATAAATTCCGAGCGAGCAAGTGTGCATACGAAATTTGTCGCCAAACTCATACAAACACCAGCCAACAGCCACCATNTTCTATATGGTAGCGAGACCTGGGCAATTAATGAAATAGAGGAAAATAGACTACTCCTTTTTGAAAGAAAGATCCTTCGGTCAATTTTTGGAGCAGTTAAGGAAAATAATATTTGGAGAAGTTTATATAATCATGAGATATACAATAAATATAGATTACCAAATATTTTGAGGGTTATTAAGGCCTACAGGATCAGATGGCTGGGGCACGTTTTGGCGTGAAGATTTGGACCTAGTTAATAAACTTACTTTTACGAAAATTGAAGGAACTAGAAGAAGAGGGAGACCAGCTACAAGATGGTTGGACAGTGTTGAGTAGGACTTAAAATTGTTGGTAATAAACAGGTGGAAAAATCTAGTTCAAAGTCACCCTGCCTGGAGGCAGCTAAATGAGAAAGCCTTGGCCTGCACTAGGCTGTAGTGCTGACGAAGAAATCTAAGTATAATATTCATAAATTCTAAAAAAGAAAAAACAAAAACAGAACTTAAGGGAGTTCTTTCTTCTATCTCTTTTTTCAGTCGTAAGTATAATATAGGCAGTAGCAAGATTAAGTACAGTTGTAGTATTAATTTTCTTAAATTTATTTTCGGTTCACAACCTGTTAGAATTTATAAATTGCAGAAAACTCTTATGAATGGTAAAATTGCGCGTAAATTTAATAAAAAAAATCACAATAATAAAACTTCCAAGAATATTAAGCCTATTCACATATCGCCTCGTACGCATAAACTAAGCGGAGGGATACACCGGAAGTTTCCTAAATTTCTTCCGGTTTTAGGAAGTTTGTTATTGTTTACATTCAGTCAACCATAAATAAGAAACATCTGTAGTATGAAAATAAAAAATATTTTTAAAAAATAAAATGATAAATATTCCGTGACGATATATATCGGGTGCTTTTAAATTAAAAATGAAAATTAATATAGCAGAATATTTGGATTTCGTGGTGTGCTGGAGTCAAATTCTGATGGTTAAAACAAGTGATTTATTCTTCCTTTTATTATTAGTTTATTTTTTCCTATCTTCTAGGTGTTGATTATTACTGTTGAATAAAATAATAATCAAGAAATGCTTATTGTTGTGTTCAAAGAGATGTTGGGTTTGAAATATTAGTTTACATATTCTTAATCTTTAAATAAATGGCTACTTATCGGTTGTGGATGGTTGACTGAATGTAAACAATAAAACCGGAAGAAATTTAGAAAACTTCCGGTGTATCCCTCCGCTTACGCTATGCTTGCGAGGTGATGTGCGAACAGGCTTAATTTTCTAGACAGTTTTATTATTGCGATTTTTTTATCATATTTACGTGTAATTTCACCTTTCATAAGAGTTATCTGCAATTTATAAATTCTTACAGGTCGTGAGCCTAAAAAAATTGAGAAAATTAATATCACAGCATAAATTAAGTGCAAGGTTTGCCATGTTTTGAGTGTTATCCCTCATTTGGCTATACTTGTGAAAAATAGTGCCGTTTGTAATTTTTTGAGTAATACATCATAGCAAGCCTGCGGAGTCCTCCGAATTAATTTGTTGCTTGTTTCGTTGAAGTTAGATTGAAAGAACGCGTTATATTATAAACACTACAAGTATAATAATATTGGAGGGTGCGTTTCTTCAAGCAAAGGCGTAAAAATCAGTCGGAAATAGTAAACCAGAAATCTTACAAGGAATTTTAACCCCTAGCGTCATCTTTGTTTAACTTTACACAGTCAACCATCCATAGGGACTATGTATTTCCCTCATACAGCGATTATCAACAATAACAATCAGAGAACGATCAAGACAAATTCAGGCCCAAGGCGCACCTAATTTTCCGGGCCTGTTACAAAATATTTTGAACATTCTAAGAAATTTTGAAAGCAGGCAATTGAAGATTATTTTTCTACGATAAAGTTTACGTATCTATAAATTAAAGCAAAATATAAAACAACAAAACAATGTCATGTCAAAATAAAAATAGTTTGGTTACCACAAACAATTGAAATCAATGAATTATGCTAAAAGTCACTGATTAGCTGAATTATTTTTTTATTGTAAGCTGTAAATAGTTTTTATTTAGTACTTAAACCAACACAAAGCTATCCCAGCTTTCATTAGATTTTTCCTAATTTTTGAGGCCCCCCAGAAATTGAGTGTCCTAGGCCCATGCCTATTGGGGTCTAGGCGATAATCAAGCCCTAATAACTATACGCAATAAATACAATAACATCGCGAATGTTATCGTTCTCATAATATTACAAATATAATACATAACGATAATTATTGCATATGAATTTGAATGTTGATAAAATTTATGTGGGTAACGAAAGTATTGAGCGATGTTATCTTTGTTTATTAATTTATAAATTCAGTTACGATTGAGTTATCACGCTATGTTGATAAATACTGATATTTACTGATAATGCTTCGCGATATTTAACTTATAGATTATAGGGATATGTCTAAAAAAGCTGTCACAAACATTTGGTCCTTATGACCTGCTAATGGCCAATAAATTTTATGTTAATTTAGAAAAGTAAAGACAATTGTTAGATCGATTAAAGATGTCATTGTAAGATAGAGTAAAGACGTCATTGTTAGATAGTAAAGACGTCAGTTGAATAAAATTTATTAACTTTTCTCAGGATTATGAAATGATATTAATTTATATTCCTGTTGTGTTAAACCATCAGTTAAAACACGTGTTGCTTTTTGTTTTCTTAAGAGGTTGGTAATTTTATTATTTAAATTATTTTGGAAGAAATATAGTATATCCCTGAGGCCGGGCAGAAAATCCGATTTTTACTTCGGAAGAAAGTAGACTCATAATTGCGATTACATATTTTCTTTACTTCACTTTTTTTTAAAATTGTTTTTAATAATTGCTTTTTTTTCATTTTTGAAAGGATAGTCACACATTGGTTATTAGCGATCGAAATGGGCTAACTCTCTACCTATGGCAGTGTTTCCCAAAGTGTGGCACGCGTACCTCCAAGAGTACGGGAACAGTTTAGTGGGGGTACGCGTTCCTATGCGAAATATCTTGCAACAAACCAAACTTTCAAAATTTTTTTATTTAAAAACAAAGTTAGCCTTAAAAATTTACGGTTACGTATTTTTCTATTGGCTATTTTTTGCAGAGTTAACAGTTAATAATTAGTAGTGTCAACAGCCAGTTGCGATTTTTAACTTTTGTGCAATTGTTTAAT